TTATTATGTTAACCTGAGTAGTTGAATGTTATGGAAAACATATTTTGACATGAACGGTTGCAGACTGCAGTGAATTTAACAGATGGGAAAATATTTGTAACGGTTTATTTCAGCATTGGATGTCAGTTAGGAAGTACATTGCTTATTTTGTGTTGTGTACCAGAAAATGGCTGTATGTGATGAGATTAATGTGAAGTTTTTGTATGATTTGAAATGAAAGGGGGAAAGCATTAATTGACTGGTGTGTAAATGAAGGTTTACTTAGTCATTTTAAGTGTCCTGTTTGTACAAAGAAAATGCATATGGTCAAACGTAAGGATCGTTCAGATAGCTTTGAATGGGTTTGTCGCAAGAAAGGTTCATGCAAGGAATGCCACCGACAGTCTGACACTATGGAGGATATTTTTTTACTCTTATTTTTGTGAATTTATGTGGTGATGGCAGTATGCATATTTTAGTTCAGATCAGTTAAGAAAGTTTTTGGAAGCTGCTAAGGAATTCTGTGTGCCACAGACTGAAGACACAGAAATTTCTAAGTATGCTAAGTCGATATTTTGGTTGATCTTTGGATTATGGTAACTTGGCGATTTCTTGGCGAAAATTTGGCGACCAACTCTGCTACAGCAACCCTCTATTTTTTTTTTCCGCCGCCATTTTGTCTTCACGAAGTAAAGACATGTTTCTTTTCTTTTTATTTACTGAACACTTTTTCCAACAATCTACTAGCCAAATTACACTTATACTAGAAATTTTATTTAACAAAACTGCTTAATCATGACAAATATTCACTGCAAAATTGGGAAAAAAGTGCACAATCGCAAAAACTCCTTGCGCGTTTTCACAATAACACATACACATAAACCATGTACACGTCGACTTATTTTTACTTAAAAAAACATCCCAGAATTGCACAAAAATGGCATTGCGCACACTCTTCACTATATCCATGTACACTGCTTTTTTCTCATTAGAAAAATTTCACGAAAATGCATGAAAATACTCAACGTATACTACTCAAACATATTCCAAAATACTACAAACATATAACTCACAAAATCACGATCATTAAATTAAAAAACACTACTTCAAATATAAATAAGCACATACATTAAATTAATAAAAATTAGATTACAATCCTAATTACTTTAAACTAAATCATTGCTAATAACAATTTTCAAATAATACCATTTTAATTTATTTACTCCTTACATTTAGAACAATGCATAAAAATAATATCCTCAATTGATTAAAAATACTAACTTACCTAATCTTCTTCAAAATCTTCATTACGTCGCTGCAGTACTACTGCTAATTTCTAAATCCTAAATCCAGTAGGCAAGTGGAAGTCTATTCACCAAGTAATAAGAAATTAATAAAATTTCACCTATACTCAAACTACTTTCAGCAAACCACATACCCTTCCTTACACTCCTTTTCACAAAAATGTCCATTTCACCATATTTCTTGCACCGCCATTTAAAAATTGTAATATCCTTCCTTTCACACAATCTCAACTTATTATTATCAGATAAACGCATTAAAAATTTAGAATTCACTTTACATAGCGCCATGCAATCCGAAAATTAATCAACACTATTTCACACAACACACAATGAAGCTTTCCCCCCAATTAACCCCCTTTTCCGATTAAAGAACTGTAATTTGTCCATTAATGTCACGTTTCACACAACACAGAATATAGCTAAATACGAAATTTCCAGATTCCCCCCTTTTCCGATTAAACAACTGTAATTCATTCATTAATGTCACATGACATATCTCATGATCTCTCATTTCCCTCACACAAAATAATGCGTAATCGGAACTGAGTGCTTCTCACATTATTACCAAAGTCCTAGGTAGTAACCTTTATCGCCTCCAAAATGTCGCCAAACTACCAGTTACCATATTCCAAAGATCAGATGATATTTTCTTTTTGTAGTGCATATATGCAATAAGATGTATTTCTTTTTTTATGTTATTTCATTGTGTGAGTTACAATACAGTTTATTGAGCTTTGATTAGCTACAAATTGTGTTCAATTTTGGTGATGGGTAACTTTATTTTAACATTATATGACGTCATAATTCTTCTGAATTTTTTAAAAGTGTAAATAGATCAATGTGTACATGGACTTAGTTTGTGCAATTTTCGGATTTTTTTTTAAAGTGAGAATAGATCAATGTGTACATGGACATCGAGTTAGTGCAATCCTTTGACTTGTTATTTTGGTTTTGTATAGCAGTTATCTTGAAAGTGTCCCTTGCTGGCCAATCACCAAAAATCAGCAACTTTTGTCAAGGCTCACCCTGAAATATACTTTTACACCGTTTTTAAATATTTTGTAGTTTTGCTGTTGAATTGAATTTTATGTGGCATAAAAGCAGAGAACACGACATTTAATAAACAATGCATAAAAGTGATAAATAAAAAGACAAAAATTTGTTAGCCATCTGACTAAGATAATTGAATATTGATATGACAAACTGAGGAGACTGAAAAAATATAAGTGTATGTGAACGCCTGACACTTCATCGTGAATTCTAAACATACTGCTGTGCAGCTTTTAAAATATTTTTGCTGTTGTACTGTATGGGATGTAAAGGCAAAGAAAACAGTGCTTAATAAAAAAAGTTCTGTAAAGGATGTCTGCGTAAGCAGCACTCAGCAAAATTTCTGATTACAGCAGACTGATAGACTACAAGCTTGGCAAGAGCATTAAAAACTTTTCTAGGTGACTGTTAATACCCAAAACCTTTCAGTTTTTTTTACTTTTTCTATGAAAATTCAGAGGATAAACTATGTGAATAATTAAATTACCAAAAGATGCAATTACAAAACTTTACCAATATCTAATAAGACATATATATTTCTACTTCTTGTATCTCAAATATCTTCTGTTTTTGTTGTCCACTGGCGCTCTGTAGAATTCAAATCATTAACTGCGTCTTTGTAGTCTACTACAACTTACAATTAATTTGTTGGCATCATCACCAGTGTCATCGTTTTCTCATATGCAATGATCTTCAGGAGTATAAGATGTCTCCGTTTCTTGAACTATTACTCCATTTCTTGAACTATTCTTGAACCATGCACTTCACTATTATTGCTTCATCAATCACAATCCAGAAGCCCATGCAACCACAATCCACAAGCAAATCAATTAGTACGACGAAAACAATTATTATGTGAACAAGTCTACATCAAAATTTAGGAAAGCTCGTTTTTTGAATGCTTTGAGGAAAGGGTAAAATTACATGAATACTTGAAAAGAATCTTGCGAGCTTTGCGCTCAAAGGCTAATGCAGAAAATACACGAGGAAATATAGTTCTTCTCTATTTCTTTTTAAAGGCTTTTATTAAAATAAAGCAATGCTTTCAATTTACCTGCTGTCTAAATTCTAAGAATTTGCATCCAACAACTTTAAGTATTTATGATAAAATATAATATATTTTGACAATAACAATGTCACTTCTTTATCAGCCAAATATGAAGTGATACACTGAAAACTATACTACTGATTACAGGGTTGGTACACATTTCTGCACATGGAAATTAAGTACTTTTAAGGGTCATTAATGAAAAAAATTACGGACCTCTAGATATAGTTTTTTTATTACAATACGAGAAATATACATATATTTATGCAGATTTTTCATTATTTAATTTCTTCAAATATAATGCAGGACTCCTTACATTTTGTGGCAACATTTGAAAAGTGAACCGACATTTATAGGAGTCTGACGGAAAATGCCACAACGAAAGTAATAGTCCTTCGGGACTGAAACCTTAGCTAATAACTGCAATTTTGAAGAATAATTTCCTATGAGTTTCTTTTTCAAACTTTTTTTCATTTAGAATAAGTTTCTGTATTTTCTAAAAAAACTAAATGCATTTAGAATGTACAGAAAAAGTGCTAATTTTATTTCTTTAGTAATATGAACATTCAGAAGAAATATGCAATATATATAGTAAGAGCTGACGTGGCAAATTTAGTGACACACCGACCAACAAAATCTAGAAAAGGCAAACTTTTTAGAATTTAGAGCAAGCACTGGAAGCAGAATTTAGGACCCACAGAGATTGCATCAGGTAAGGAAAATGCCTTAGTTTCGCAAGCCCTATTGTGAATGGCATGCATTAAGACATATAAGATGAATCTTTTAAATTGTCAAGCTTTCAATTTCTTTATAAACAGAAAAAAAAATTCCTTTCTATAAATGCCTGCCCATGTGATAGGATTAAGAAGCATTTTTGATATTTTCCATGCTTGTGTCTAGTGAAATAGTAGAGAAAGATAAACATGTTAAGAAAAAGACTTCTAGTATTCAGAAGTGAAACATTCAAATATTGCATGTTTTCATTGTTCTTCCAAAACGTTCTCCAAAAAGTAAGAAATTCAATGCACAGACGTTCTGTAAAATACATTCCATTATGTGTTGATACCATGTGAAGATATTTTTCCATTTTGTCACATTTTTTCTGGAATCTTCTAGACTCAGTCTCGTAAATCTTGCCTTCAAATCCTTTTACACTTTCCAAGCTGCAATGTCTAAAATCCTAAAGATAAATTATTCCTACCATTTCTGTAACAGCAAAAAGCCAGAAATAGTTTGGGGGGGGGAAAGAAGGAAAAAATGTAAAATTAATTTTATAGAGAAAACTGATGCACATTCTGAGACAATTACACAGAAAAACTCTTACTATAAAAAAAAATACATTTTAATAATTACTAGCTAATTTTGCTTTCGTGAATGTGCTTTTTTTTATTTATCTGTTTAATTTCAGATTCAAAATGTATAATAAGTGCCAAATGAACTATAATATGAAGTTTAAGACAACATCACTCTTTAATTGCTTACCAATAAATTCACAAAATATTCATCAAAAGAGGTGCCAGATGATGCTGGCTAAAATACCCTATTATGCTGCTTCTATCACGATAAGAATATAGTTAAAAGCAATTTAAATGATGTATATAATGAAAAATTCATCCTACCTTTACGTCAATATCCAAAAAGCCTCCTTCAGCTACTTCAAATGTCAAACCCATTTTTGTACCGGCCGTTACTTTATCAAAAAAACATTATTCTGCATGGGCATCTACACATACAAAATAACAGTTAATGAAGGGCAAGAATACTGTTGCAAGAAATACAGTCTGTAAAACTGATAATTTGTGGGAAATGATATTCATTTTTAACTAATTATAGGTCAATCAAAATTTGCTCCTAATATTAATAGCCACGTTCATTTATGTTTCACGGACGGAGTCAGAAACATTGCAGACGTTGCCACTTACACAAAAGTTCTATCTACTAAACTTGATTTTAAATGGTTAGGTTCCAAAGCATGTAATTTTACACATGTCCTAACAGACTGTAGAAATATTAAGGATAGAAAAAATTATTCGCTCTTCTAAACAACTTCCAATGCTTAATTTCCTTGTCATGTAAGTTATATTTATATGCGTTATGTGGTCAGCCATCAGGATTATCGGTGATCCTACTTAAATTCAACACTAACTGGCATTACAATTTTCATGGTTGGTCTGATGCCGACCGTTGAGTAGCACTATCTGTGCGAGAGTAATAAAAATCAAGCACCTCAGTGGAGAAAGAAAGAAATTATTATAATTGCTTGAGAGATAATCTGCTATCTTTTCATCGTATAAGCCGAAAAGTATGTATCATAATATCTCATGTCTTTTAAATGGTTTCGTATATTGTTTTGTAGTTTGCAGTGCATGCCATTCTGGTACAAGTGTATATCCGATGTGCTATTTTGGTGCATTCTAGCGTTTTCCTCACTGTAAATATTGTTTACTGTAGAATTATAGTGCGAGATTTTCTCTTCCTAAGTCAAGAAGCACTGTCAAATTATTTTGAATATATTTTAAAAGTGCTTGTATTAGCTTATTGGGCTTATTTAGATTAACAGTCTGTGTTGAATGAATGATTTTGCATAACTTAGTGTAATAAAATTTATTTCCCAAATCATTTTAACTGTTTGGTCATTATAATATTGCACTAGCTTAGAGTAAGAAACCAAACTCGATTTCTTTTACATATTAATCAGTCTCTTCTGAGCGATTTAAGTAACTAATATTTGAAGTTACTATGAAAGAGCTTATCTGTGAGATTTCATATTATTCATAGAAGTAAAAATGTTTTTTTCTAAAAAGAGTTGTGGTAACAATACATGGAATCTCAAATTTGCTGTTGAGTGTTTTTTCGGAATAATTGACTAAATATAAATTTATGCTGGCATTTTATTTAAAAACAACGTAAACAAGTTCACTTTTTTAAAAATTATCTATTGATATTTAAAATGGATTTTAAGTAAATTTGTAATCATTTTTCCAAATAGATATATATATATATAATATATATATATATTTGCAATAAGTGAAGTTGATGACATTTAATGTGGCATTTTACATTTTTGGTCTATATTTTAATTAAATTTCATTTTAAGTCTGTATTATACAGTGAGTCCAAAATTGAGGGACCTTAATGCTAACTTAATTGTAGGCTATAAGAATATAAATTATTATGCAAGTTTTCCTAGTTTTGTCCCATTAAAAAATATACATTTTTCTTCTTAACTACACAAAAAATAAGTTATAAAAACTCTGTTAAAAAAAATATTATATACTTAAAAGGAAAATCTTCAACTTTTGAAAGTCCCAAAATTGAGAGTACACTTCTTAAATGACTGTGTAAAAACTACCAGTAAAATTTTAAAAATAATTTGTACCTAAGATTTATACAAAAATACAACCTATTTAGTATCCAAATATATCAAATTTGAGCTTACTACCTTTCTGTGTGACAAATATGGAGGATGGATAGGAAAGAAAACGACGATTGAGGAAGAAAAACTGGCCATTAATCTGTTAATCAAGGCAAATCTTTGAGAAAAATAGGAGAAATACTTGGAAGAAGTGTAAATTGTATTAGAAAAATCATTCAAAAATTTAGAAAGATGGTACGCTGGAAAACGAAGTAGGGAGAGGCAGGAAAGAAAATTCTCCATTCCAGCAGCAGAGAGGAGAATTGTACACGAGGTGGTAAGGATTGATCCTACAATAAGTGCCCCAAAAATTGCCGCAAGTACTTCTGGAAACTATGGGTAAATCTGTTTCTTCAGAAACAATGCGCAGAATCCTCAGAAGGGCTGGATTAATGGCAAGAAAAGCTCTCAAAAAGCCCTTCATTAGTAAAATAAATATAGAGCTAAGAGATTAAATTTGCTAAAGAGCACATTCTAAAGCTAAAGAGTTCTGGAATGAAGTTATTTTCAGCAATGAGAGTAAAAATTTAATGTTTTGGCAGAGTGCAGTGACGGGTCATCGTATGGTGTGGCGCAAGAAAAATTCAGCTTTAAGATCCAAGAAACACAATTCCAACTGTGAAGCATGGAGGTGGATCAGTAATGGTTTGGGGCTTATATGGCATCATCGGGAGTTGGAAAAGCTAGTGTTTATTGATGGAATAATGGATATAAAATGGGTTATCTTAATATATTGAAAAATAATTTGAAGGAACAGTGCTACTCAATGGGACTAGGATCAAAATTCACATTTCAACAGGATAATGATCCAAAGCATACAGCAAATACTGTCAAAGAATGGCTGCTGTATCACTGCCGAAATCAGCTGAACACACCACCTCAATCTCATAATTCGAACTTGATCGAAAATTTGTGGTCCCATCTTGAAAAAGAGGTCCGAAAGCATCAAATCACAAGTAAGGAACATTTGAAGCATGTACTAAATTATGTAATAAAACAATTACATGTACCCTCAATTTTGTGAGCTCAGATTTTTGACGATTTCTGTTGTACATTTTGTTTCTGTATTTCATGGCATTTTTTTATGTCTATTCATGAATAAATATAGGATTAGGTATCTTTCTACATTCTCACTAAGGTTTGGTGACTGTCTTTATCTGACAGTTTTTTGTTTTCATTCTAAAACATTATCTGTCTAGAATGGAGTGTACCCTCCTTTGGGACTCGCTTTGTAATAAAATGTTTTGCTTTTTTAAGAGGAAGAAAATTAGTAAATCAGAAAAAAAATATTTAGTGTTGTTCAATTCGGTTGATCTTTAGATTATGGTAACTTGGCGAAAATTTGGCGACCCACTCTCCTACGCAACCCCTCTATTTTTTTTTTCCCCGCGCTATTTCTCACGAGTAGAAAGACTGTTTCTTTTCTTTTTATCTACTGAACACTTCTTCCAAAAATCTACTAGCCGAATTACCCTTAGGCTAGAAATTTGATCTAACAAAACTGCTTAATCATGATAAATATCACTGCAAATTGGAAAAAAGGGCACATACCCTACTCCTTATGCGTTTTCAAAATAAACCATACACATAACATGTCACTCGACTTATTTTACTTAAAAAAATCCCAGAATTACACAAAAAATGGCATTGCTCACACTCTTCACTGTATCCATGTACACTGCTTTTTTCATAAATTAGGAAAATTTCACGAAAATACATGACAATTTTCTGAATCTTTAAAACGGTAAAAAGAACATATATGAAATTACCTGATCACGAAAAGTATATACCCTTTCCAAATATGAACATTTCCACATATAAATAAATAAAATCCAAAAGCTTTTACCTCTAAATCATCTATTATATTATAAACGTCACCAACGAATTCATACCGCAAGTATTATAAATACTTATGTCAAATATTTAAATTATTTCCATGCACGTTTACTTCAACTCTAAAACGATACCAAATTCCTACAACATAAAATTCCAAAAATAACTATCATTAATTAAAAACAATTAAAAATTCAAAAACACTACTTAAAATATAAATAAGCAATACATTAAATTAATAAAAATTAGCTTACGATCCTAATTACTTTAAACTAATCATTGCTAATAACAATTTCCCAATAATACCAAATTACTTTACTTCCACCTACATTTAGAACAAGCATAAAAAAATATCCTCAAATAATTAAAAATACTAACTTACCTAATCTTCTTCGAATCTTGCTTACATGGTGGATACACTTTATTATGGATTCATAAAATTATTGAACAATTTTTTCTGCGAATTTTTCCTCCACACTTCCTCTGCTAAAATAAAAAGCAAAATTCTCTTTATCACATCTAGAATTCACTTTAGACAGTGCCATAACAATCCCAAAATTATTCAACCCTACTTCACGCGACACACAATGAAGCTTATACAAAATAATATAACAGCCACAGATATTTTTCCAAATTCCCCCCCTTTTCTGATTAAAGACGTAATTCGTCCATTAATATCACATGACATATCCCATGATCTCTCATTTCCCTCACGCAAAATAATGCGTAATCGGAATGTACTGCTCACATTTTACCAAAGTCCCGGTAGTAACCTTTATCGCCTAAATGTCGCCAAACTACCAGTTACCATTCAAGGTGTCAATTCTTTAGAAATCAGATTTTCTCATTGCCACATGTTAAATACTCTCTTTTAGTGTAATATGATTAAAACTTTTTAAAATTTATTTTTTTATAATTAATTTTTTTTTTGATGAGATACGTAAGAAACAAGCAATCTATATGCTTAATTAGTAGAATTACCAAATATGTGGCCTAATTGGTTTTTCTGGTGGCATTTGTCACCAAAGATAAGCAAACCTAAACTGTCGATTTATCATAAAGTGAGAATGAAAGTATATTTTGACATAACACCCAAATTTGTGAAAATATGCATAAAATAGAGTTATGTAAATCCATGGAAATCGTATGAAGATGCAGTGTGTAAAATAGCCAGGGGGGGAAGAGGCTTTCATGTCATTTTCTGGTTTGCTGCTTTATAGGTCACATTCTTGATAGTGGTCGTTTTATGGCCACGTGAAAAATAAATTAGATACTTTTCTGTTATGCACCTGCCACACATTTTGGAAAGTGTGTACCTAATGGAAAAATACAGCATGTGTGTATGCAACTTTATGTAAACTAATCTTACAACTTAATATTAAACTGAAAAGTATCATAAATAACTTTTTTTTAAGTAAGAAGTTTGGGAATTATTTTCTTTTAAAGAAAACATTTCAGTTAAAACTCCTTGTGCTTCTCCTTTCTTGATTTTTTTTAAGCTTAAATCATCAATAAAACCCAAAATACCCAATTTGTGATTATTTCCTGCTAATTGTGTCATTTCTATAAAAATTATATCAATCAATATTTTACCTAAATGCATACTAAATCTCTCTGGATTTTGGTATTTTTTCACATAATGTCAA